TTGCAGATGCTGAGCACGGCGTTCCCACACGTGGTCTGGTGCGGATGCATGACCGAGCGCCTTCAGCTAGGTGAGTCAACTAAAACTAATCTGGTCAGAATCCAATGTCGAAAGCTTACAGAGCTATTTATTTTGGGGATTTATTTACCGCTACAACAGTTAGTGTCCGATAAACTAAAGGTCCCAGTTGTGAAAAAGATTCTTAACATCTGTTCACAGCCAGCTGCATTTAATTGAGACACAGAACACTCATCTTCTAAGAATGTATACTGCTCTTCTGCAGGCAAATAAAAGCTCAGACACTTAGCTATCCTGCTACCGATGTTATTGCTGGGGAAATTGTTTAATGACAGTGGTCTTGAAACATGAACAGTGTTAGACGTACTGTCTACAAATAAACACCAAACGTACTTAAAGCTATCTTATAATACCTGACAGCAACAGAATCAAAGGCACGTTTTTTCCTATTTTTAATCAGACTGATTTGAATCAATATACTCACTAAAAACAGGCAACTCTACTTACTGAACTGATCCTTTTCGTTACAGGCTTTAAGCCCTGTACTTAAGTATACTATAATTCTATCGACTAATCTAAATTACAACGGCAACCAAGAGTACTAAACTAAGCAAGTGTCGTAATTATTGTTCCATTTGCACAGACATGTTGCTAAACGGAGTAAAATGAACATAATTCAGCCGATAAAACCAAAACACGAAATATAGGCCATTTGAACTTGCCTAACAGAAGACGAAGGATAGATATATATTGCTTTCAGGCTGAAGACAACAGTCAGTTGTTCATAAAAACATAGTCTACAGTACAACAAACCTTTCTTCAGTAACATCATGCACTGACGGTCTATCTGAAAACAATAAACGATGTGATTAAACTAACTATGACTTGAGATATCATTCCAGCGTGCAATGAACGTACAGTGTAGCGCAGTCGGACGTGGCAAATGAAAATTAAAAACAGAACAAAATTAACAACATAATCTAGTTATTTAATTAAAAATACATTATGAAATGACAAAATCTGTGGTTACTTGAACGCACAGATGACCGTTATTACACTGGGCGATACATTAAGTTTACATGGTTGCGTTGCGAATTAATTCATCGGACAAACTCCATCCGCTCTTATGATTTCGATAAGACTGATCATCAAAATCTCTGTCTGAAACAAATTATCTGAAGGATTGCTTTCGAACTGATTGACTTTCAATGTCAAATAAAGTTCGTCAAAGGTTAACCTTTGGACCGCTCATTTTCATACAATCTATCAACGATTGACCTGAAACGATATTCTCTAAAGCCCTGATATATACTGACGGTTGTAGGATATTAAGAGATTAAAGGTAGGACTGATGTCTATTCAGGATGAATTGAATAGTCAATGGCATTTCCTCCCGAATTTTAGGAAAGGCGGAATCCTAATGGTGGACAGTGATGATGCTCTGTCCACCAGGGTAGCCTAACCCAAATACCGCTTAAGACTGTCTATATTGATTACTTAAAATCTTATATGGGAAACCCACTTAGATTAAACTTTTCCTTGAATATAATATCACTCTCTTGGAACATATTCAGGGACGAACAACCAAAAAGCCCCGAAACTAAAAAAAAATTAATCACCTTGCCTGGACGCTCCAAGTTAGCTACCTGCAGAGTACAAAAGGATTAGGAGACTATGACCTTAATGTGTCGTGTTGCTGGTAACACCGTCAACCCAAGCAGATTACAAACACATTTCATTACCAAACAATGCACAAAAGGTTGATGATGTCACAGGTATTCAGTGTTTGACAACGCTTTTACCAGTAACACCTAATGTAACTCGTACCCACCAAGAGAAATCAAAAGGCAGAATCGAGGAGATCAGAAGTTGTATTTGACGATTGCCAATATGTCGGAATTGTCTGATCTAGTCTGGCTAGCGATTGCAGATGCTGAGCACGGCGTTCCCACACGTGGTCTGGTGCGGATGCATGACCGAGCGCCTTCAGCTAGGTGAGTCAACTAAAACTAATCTGGTCAGAATCCAATGTCGAAAGCTTACAGAGCTATTTATTTTGGGGATTTATTTACCGCTACAACAGTTAGTGTCCGATAAACTAAAGGTCCCAGTTGTGAAAAAGATTCTTAACATCTGTTCACAGCCAGCTGCATTTAATTGAGACACAGAACACTCATCTTCTAAGAATGTATACTGCTCTTCTGCAGGCAAATAAAAGCTCAGACACTTAGCTATCCTGCTACCGATGTTATTGCTGGGGAAATTGTTTAATGACAGTGGTCTTGAGACATGAACAGTGTTAGACGTACTGTCTACAAATAAACACCAAACGTACTTAAAGCTATCTTATAATACCTGACAGCAACAGAATCAAAGGCACGTTTTTTCCTATTTTTAATCAGACTGATTTGAATCAATATACTCACTAAAAACAGGCAACTCTACTTACTGAACTGATCCGTTTCGTTACAGGCTTTAAGCCCTGTACTTAAGTATACTATAATTCTATCGACTAATCTAAATTACAACGGCAACCAAGAGTACTAAACTAAGCAAGTGTCGTAATTATTGTTCCATTTGCACAGACATGTTGCTAAACGGAGTAAAATGAACATAATTCAGCCGATAAAACCAAAACACGAAATATAGGCCATTTGAACTTGCCTAACAGAAGACGAAGGATAGATATATATTGCTTTCAGGCTGAAGACAACAGTCAGTTGTTCATAAAAACATAGTCTACAGTACAACAAACCTTTCTTCAGTAACATCATGCACTGACGGTCTATCTGAAAACAATAAACGATGTGATTAAACTAACTATGACTTGAGATATCATTCCAGCGTGCAATGAACGTACAGTGTAGCGCAGTCGGACGTGGCAAATGAAAATTAAAAACAGAACAAAATTAACAACATAATCTAGTTATTTAATTAAAAATACATTATGAAATGACAAAATCTGTGGTTACTTGAACGCACAGATGACCGTTATTACACTGGGCGATACATTAAGTTTACATGGTTGCGTTGCGAATTAATTCATCGGACAAACTCCATCCGCTCTTATGATTTCGATAAGACTGATCATCAAAATCTCTGTCTGAAACAAATTATCTGAAGGATTGCTTTCGAACTGATTGACTTTCAATGTCAAATAAAGTTCGTCAAAGGTTAACCTTTGGACCGCTCATTTTCATATAATCTATCAACGATTGACCTGAAACGATATTCTCTAAAGCCCTGATATATACTGACGGTTGTAGGATATTAAGAGATTAAAGGTAGGACTGATGTCTATTCAGGATGAATTGAATAGTCAATGGCATTTCCTCCCGAATTTTAGGAAAGGCGGAATCCTAATGGTGGACAGTGATGATGCTCTGTCCACCAGGGTAGCCTAACCCAAATACCGCTTAAGACTGTCTATATTGATTACTTAAAATCTTATATGGGAAACCCACTTAGATTAAACTTTTCCTTGAATATAATATCACTCTCTTGGAACATATTCAGGGACGAACAACCAAAAAGCCCCGAAACTAAAAAAAAATTAATCACCTTGCCTGGACGCTCCAAGTTAGCTACCTGCAGAGTACAAAAGGATTAGGAGACTATGACCTTAATGTGTCGTGTTGCTGGTAACACCGTCAACCCAAGCAGATTACAAACACATTTCATTACCAAACAATGCACAAAAGGTTGATGATGTCACAGGTATTCAGTGTTTGACAACGCTTTTACCAGTAACACCTAATGTAACTCGTACCCACCAAGAGAAATCAAAAGGCAGAATCGAGGAGATCAGAAGTTGTATTTGACGATTGCCAATATGTCGGAATTGTCTGATCTAGTCTGGCTAGCGATTGCAGATGCTGAGCACGGCGTTCCCACACGTGGTCTGGTGCGGATGCATGACCGAGCGCCTTCAGCTAGGTGAGTCAACTAAAACTAATCTGGTCAGAATCCAATGTCGAAAGCTTACAGAGCTATTTATTTTGGGGATTTATTTACCGCTACAACAGTTAGTGTCCGATAAACTAAAGGTCCCAGTTGTGAAAAAGATTCTTAACATCTGTTCACAGCCAGCTGCATTTAATTGAGACACAGAACACTCATCTTCTAAGAATGTATACTGCTCTTCTGCAGGCAAATAAAAGCTCAGACACTTAGCTATCCTGCTACCGATGTTATTGCTGGGGAAATTGTTTAATGACAGTGGTCTTGAGACATGAACAGTGTTAGACGTACTGTCTACAAATAAACACCAAACGTACTTAAAGCTATCTTATAATACCTGACAGCAACAGAATCAAAGGCACGTTTTTTCCTATTTTTAATCAGACTGATTTGAATCAATATACTCACTAAAAACAGGCAACTCTACTTACTGAACTGATCCGTTTCGTTACAGGCTTTAAGCCCTGTACTTAAGTATACTATAATTCTATCGACTAATCTAAATTACAACGGCAACCAAGAGTACTAAACTAAGCAAGTGTCGTAATTATTGTTCCATTTGCACAGACATGTTGCTAAACGGAGTAAAATGAACATAATTCAGCCGATAAAACCAAAACACGAAATATAGGCCATTTGAACTTGCCTAACAGAAGACGAAGGATAGATATATATTGCTTTCAGGCTGAAGACAACAGTCAGTTGTTCATAAAAACATAGTCTACAGTACAACAAACCTTTCTTCAGTAACATCATGCACTGACGGTCTATCTGAAAACAATAAACGATGTGATTAAACTAACTATGACTTGAGATATCATTCCAGCGTGCAATGAACGTACAGTGTAGCGCAGTCGGACGTGGCAAATGAAAATTAAAAACAGAACAAAATTAACAACATAATCTAGTTATTTAATTAAAAATACATTATGAAATGACAAAATCTGTGGTTACTTGAACGCACAGATGACCGTTATTACACTGGGCGATACATTAAGTTTACATGGTTGCATTGCGGATATAGTCACCCCTCAATTTCACTAACATGTGACAAATTTATCCGACGTATAGGTCATATGTCCTTAGCCGCGGTTACTTCAAGTACGCACGAAACTGCAGTTTTGTGTGTCTATTTATTGATCTGTCATAATTTTACGGTGGTCCCTCTTTAAGTACTATCGATTACTTCCTCATCAGACGTAAGTCATATACACATGCCTAGCAAGTCGTTCCCTTGCTTTTTCTCACAAATTTCACAAACGCCTCAAACATCCAAGTGGAAATAAAGACGAACAAAGGGGGAAGTGCGTTAGAAAATAAATGGGAAACGCGCCAGAATGTTTGCTTTTTCGCTTGTCTGGGTGAAACGCTGCAAAATTTTCCCTTTTTGTCACTTTCAAATGTCGGTGCATTGTCTACTTCTCGTCTAAATAAACGACGGATTGTCTACTTTTGCTTCCACTTTTCAAAAATCTGTAGCATAACCCCAAACGTCTTCCGTGTTCGTCTTTATTCCCACATTACGCCACACGCAAACTGTAATCCACGTAAAAATGGTATATGTTTAGAGATATCTATTAAAACGAAGAAGCGTATTACTTTACGTTATGAGTGTTGGCAGATGCTGGAGCATCAATCGTTATGTATTTTAATTGTGATTTCCATGAAAGCTGTTCTCATTTTATCCCACCGTCTGTTATAAGTCGATCTTTGACAGCTAAGGACGCTTGACAAGTTAACGGTTGCCCTACATCTACGAGCTCTCTCAGTGACTTTGATTGGACTAATCTTAGAAGCTTAACAAGGTGATTAGTTATTTATTTCCCCCCTTATTGGTTGCTTGGGCCAGACGTAACAACATTGTAAAAGCTGAACGTTTCAATAGCTGTACGACATATGTGTCTCAGGATTCACTCTGGGTATTCGGAAGTTTGTTAACTACTCACGTTATTCCAGCGAAATCGGGAGTTGAGCATGCTCCTGCATAACACTTGTCAAGTACCTCGGCAGCCCATAAACCTATTTAAGATTGTATTGTCTCCATAGCCGATGTCTATAACCCCTTCTCACTCAACCGGACTACAAGTAATGCTCTTTATACTGTAAAATACCTCATCAGCACAAGTTGGTGGTACTGCTTCTCTCTGTTAGGTTCACCGTTATCGACCTTTAACTTCAGGGTCCTTAACTGAATCTCATAATACGGTCACTGTATATCCAGAGTTAATGCTTGGCTTTTGAGTATGCAGGTCTTTCAAATCAGTCAGTATCTGGTACACATTAATCCATCGCCTGTCTGAAGGATTGACATAGTTTCCAGATTTGAACTAAGGTGAAACGAATAAGAAACGTAACTATTAGTCTTTTGCCTTGATAACAAGGTACTTTTAATTGTCCAAAGCAGTTGGTTGTCATTCTAGGGAATCGGATTTCTGTCCATATGACCAAAGGTTCATGTCATCAAGTTTTATTCTTTAAAAAAAAATAAGAAATCCGTTTATATGGTCAGAACCAACTTAACGGTTTTCGTACGTCAAAAAGTAAACTACAGTGATATTTTATGGAGGTATTCATATATTCAAATTTTCTTTCCGTTTTAACGAACCAGTTACTAATATCAAAGCTAGGGACGAAACTGCACAATCTTTTAGCCATGGTAATTTGTGGCGACAAAACAAGACTACCCACATTTTTTCTACAATCAATTCTTTCTGTTGTCTTTTCGACTTAGTGATCGTCGTTCATCGTTTAAATCCATTTTATTTCTGTTTCAACTTCGATGTAAACATGAAAATTAATCTTAATAATTTTGTTTTTATCGACTTGATGTGTTTTCAGTTCCATGGGCGAATACGTTGATCAGGTGTTTAAGCAAAAATACGACAATGCTACCCACAAATTGTCAACTTAATGAGTGTGATTTTATCCTTTAAGGATGCGTTTATATGCATGGTTTACTATGAATACTTGGATTTAGAGTGTCAAGTTTGTTTTAAAGGCAGAACGTCCTCAGGCCTTATCTCAAGAGTTTGAACGACTTGTCTTGCTAGCCAATGTATGTTGGTATAATATTAGGAATGTGTATTTTAGAGCACTGGTTCTTACCACAGCAGGTGATATCAGATGTCATGAAGTCTTAAAAATATAACTGCCCATGTCTCCGAAACAACTTGTCCTAATGATGCTACAAAACACTGTAACCATTTTATACTTGGGACCTTAGATGAGATAGCAGATTATTTTCTTTAGGTGACCCCAAATGCTCTGGTACGGCCGAGGGTGTGGAGGGTCAGTTCTTCCTGTCTAAATGCCCTCACATGGGCACGCGTATATAACCAATGCAGTGAAGCCCTACTGACTGCTTTCTCGTGGCGGGGGTGTTGTTTACGAAATTGCGAGGATGAAAAAGTGAGTGTCCGGTGCTTTAACCAGGTTGGTGGATACGGAGGGTCCACCTAGGGGAGTTGGGAAACCTTGATTCTTAACCAATGGTGTACATGGACTTCAGTATCCTGAACGAAAAAGTGGCGTGTGAACCAAACGTTGGTCATCGGTTACCATGGGACTGCGTCTCCTGACGTTGCCCACTGCCTTGTGGATCAGATCTTTAGATCGAAGGCTCTGGGTGTGGCTCCCTAAGAAAACCACCTACTTCGGTTTGGACACCCGGGTAGTATCATAGCCCGCACATAAATCAAGTGACTTGTGTGGCGCATATGCATTTGGTGCCCCTTCGTACCAGTATATGTGTTCAAACAAATAAATAATATTCTTTAGGTTGTATTACCAACTCCGCCTGGAGTTCCTCCGGGGGCTTCTGCCGGCCCCAAGCCTGGATAAAGGAGGAGGGTTGGTTATGAGGTTAGCGACCCCATCCCGTAGAAAACTAACTCGCTGAAAAACGCTAACTAGGTTGTATTATCGAATTACTGTAGGTTACAAGCAGTTTGTATTAAGCAAGCTGTTATTATTTACGTCGAATTATTTAAAGATTTTAGAGTAGTGAGAGCAAATTGGTCCACCAATGTAAGTTGTTGACTATTAATTTAACCCATAAGTCAATCAGTCTCAACACATAACCTGGTACGTATGTGTTGTTAACGGGGAAATAAGAAGCCCAGACAACTACGAAAGCTATTTTCTTGGGACGCTATTTCATTTCATTCGAACCTTGTAAAACACTTATTTTTTTTGTCCCTATTTTATTCTACATAATGAGCTTTCGTTCTATGTAACATTCACTGCCATACCCTTTTTTGTTCCGAAAATATTGTAATTTAAACATAATATTTTGCATCTTATTTTCTACCCTAATTCCCAGTTTTGGTCATAATTGTATTTTTCCAAATTATCGTACGTTGTGGTCAGGATATTCACTTATTTATTCATGTACATTTTTGCACTAATCCGAATTCAGAGTGTTCCAACTGTCTTGTCTTCTCTCACTTGCGTGCTTGCCAACCAATCAGGTTCTAAATAGTTCTCTCTCTACCCCATGTCGAACTCACGCGTACTAGACTGAAGGTTAAGCCGCTCAGCCTATCGCGCCAAGGTCATAATCTGGACTAGACAGATCAAGGTCAAGTCATAACAAGGTATCGACGGGGTAAAAGCGATTCAAGGTCATAACAGTATGTATGTTGTTTCAAGTTTCCATACCCCGTTAGCACGGAAAGATGGAATTGTCAAACCAACTCCCATAATAATAAAGATATTAACAGTGTTAGTGGTGATAAAAAAGGCTAGGCATAGAAGATACGATTCAAGAAGATACAAATTAGTGTAGTGAAAAATTTATGAGAAATTCAGTAGCTAAGATCTTTGGGAAAGACGAAGAAGGGCTGTATCTGTGCCATTGCAAGCGATTTTAATCCATGTCATTCAGTCTCTAACCACTGGTTACGATAATTACGTGAATTCCGATCAGGTAGTCTACACTCATTAACATGTGCCAGTCCAATGGTTGATGACTTCATGGGCTGATGCCACGACGTGCAATGCTATCCGGTATTGGAGATGGTTGGAAGAAAGTTAGGGGCGGCCAAACCAAAACGTGGCATCAGTGCTTGAAGTCACTAACTTCTAATCTGAGCCATGTTGGCAGATGCAGACTACTTGGTTGGGGTCCGCGTGACAATCGTAACCAATGGTTGGAGACTCTTGGTGACATGGCTCAGAATCGATCACAATGGCGTCGGTGTATACACTCCCTGTCTTCCCTTAAACTAAGAGATTAAAATCGGTTCATACCTTTTTTTCTACGAACCAATTTCTTCTTGTACTATACCTCTATATGCAATCTTTCTCTTATATATTACCACCTATACCTAACCACTGCTATGAATCCGGTGTTCATCTTGTTGTGCTGATGCGGTATGGCAACCTGGACCGATGCACATATTTGCCTGGTCCTACGTTGTAGCTGACTGACTGGGCTGATGCCATGTTTTGGTTTGGCCGCCCCTAGCTTCCTAACATCCTACTCCGACACACATATCGCTCTTTTGGGCGTAGGTCAATTTATTCTTCATGACAAAAGTATATTAACACTTACCGAAGTTACTCATCTTTGCTCAAATTTTTTCTAGTCAGTTTCGTGTATTCCAAGCACTGCCAAGTTGTATCCTCTCATGCCCAGTGTTATTTGAATGATACTTCTAGTCCTCCACATTTTTCGGATGTTCCAAATACCGATATTAATTGTTGTGGTTGTCAGAAGGAGCATTAGTCCTTGACTTACAAGTATCAGCTTACACCATACGGCGTCATAACCCTTCTATTTAAAGATCCTCCAACTCCCAGGGCAGAGTTTAAACGATCTTAGTGTTATTCTCTGGTTGACCACTTTTTAGAAAGGTTTTTCCACGAGGTGAGGTTGCCAACCTTATGCTCAGCATCTAATTTGAAATCGTGAGAAACCGTCGAGAGACTCCATACCGAGTTGACTTTATGTAATGGACAGTTCTAATTTTTGGTCATGGTATATGACGTTTACTTTCTTTTGTGAACCTGGTCTTAATGATTTCCTGCTTCAACATTGCATATTTAGTATTAACATAGTTCCTCTTTGTTTTCAGAAGTATCAAGCCACTCTGTATTCAAATTATCATCAGTATTCAAAGGCTTGATTAAAGTTGTGTAGTATCTACAAGGTTCAATACAATACCCTTACTAATGGATGACATTATTCCTGACTTAGTACGTGATACGAATTTGAGTTCACCCACTTTGGACAAAGTCCCTGTGACGATTCTGTCAGGATACCTTGGTTAGTTCTCATTTTATATTGTCCGAACTTCGCTTTTTGAAGTCCTCTAGAAATCTAAGTTTGGTAATCATATAAGTGGTATTTTCTTTTGTTACAGTTCATCATATCCCTAAACATACTCAGTCCGATTCCGGTCTTCTCACTTGAATTAGACATGAATACTGCTTTATGGATTGTTTTTAGATGTGATGGTTCATCATGTTAGTAACGGACGTTTGGGCATTATTCTTTATTTCTCTGGGCGAATTTTTTCTTCAGCTACTGCTATTTGGTTAATAGTCTTTTAACGTACCATTCTTGTGTTGTTCTCGAAGATTCTAAACGCAAATTTGTCTCATCGATTTTCGAATGTAGACGTAAAATCATAGTACAGATATCTGTATTGTAAGTGATAAAGGCATTTAGGTGCTCGCCCCAATTTTACATGTCGACGTAATTGGAATTAGCATGTCTGAATACAATTTAATCATTGTGAATACTGTAATAAGACGTTTTAAGATATAGTAAACCCTGAAATTAAGCGACAAGAAATACCTAATCTGATAGTCTGTTTATTTATTTATTTACTTGAACACATGAATATTGGTACAAGGGGGCACCAAATATATCTGCGCCACACTGATAGATAGTCTGTTCAATTGATGCAGTTGGAAATAAGCATTTTGTTAATGTGCTAAGTATTTGAATGACATAGAATACATTGATATAAAGTTACATTCTTACCATCTATGCGGTGCAACATTTTAAGATACATAGCTCCTAATGTTCGTTGTGATTTTATTGCCGAAAAATATCATTTACCTTAATGTCTATATAGAAAGGGATTCTACTAAATGCAAGTACTTTCTAACCACTGGTTTTTATGTTCGCTAAATCTATGGTGTTAATGTGCATAGAGTATACCGCTGTGCAAGCTGTTCACACTTCTTGATCAAGCAACTAATTAGTTAAAGTTAATCTACTTTAATACACTCCTGGTCCACCAAAGGACAGACTTCAAAAGTAAATGGACACCAACCAACTTGTATCCACTGTATTTTCAAACGTATATTTCGTCATTGTCGATAATTTGCGTTTTGACGTTGCATTGATAGCTACAATACATTTATCAAATTGATTTTAGGTGCTGGAAAAACTACTCTTTTGAATTATATTCTAACGTATGCTCATAACAAAAAGATTGCTGTTCTTTTAAATGATTTTGGCGAAGGTTCAGCTGTAGAGTCTAGTATTGCGTGGAGTGAAAAAGATGGCAACCTCTTTGAAGAATGGATAGAATTGCGTAACGGTTGTTTATGCTGTTCTTTAAAAGATGCAAGTGTACGAGCCATTGAAAATTTAATGAAGCGGAAGGGAAAATTTGATTATATTCTAATTGAGACATCTGGGCTTGCTGATCCAGGTTATTTGTGTTCTTGAAAGGTGATCTTCCCAATTATCCAGGTCCTGTTGCATCACTCTTCTGGTTAGACGAAGATTTATGTAGTCAAATTTGCCTCGATGGAATCGTAACAGTTTTGGATTCAAAATACTGTTTACCACATCTTATGAAGTCTACTGGGGATGAGATGAGTGAATATGAAAGGTTCTTAAATATATTTGACACTTATTTTTATTCCAGACAGGTACTTTTGGCTGATGTACTCATTGTCAACAAAACTGACTTGATTTCTGATTCAGAAAAATCAGAAGTGGTTCAGCGTATTAGGTAAGTCACTTTTTGATGGTCCACTCATACAGTTTTCCAGGTGATTAAGTAGTACGTGCGTGTCTATTACTGAAGCTGTTTACGGGTCTCTAAACAATTTCATTTTCCACGCTTCCAATTCTATTTTAAAAATTCCGGTAACACAACCCATAGTGCATTACACTTACACGGTATTATAATTACAACTAATCTTTTCAACATTTAATGTATCGTACTAAAAACATCCATACAACTGGACGTTAATAGACAGTCTCACACAAGATAGAATGGGAGTATAATAAAGAAGTAGAAGGTGGTCACATAGAAATTCACTGAATAAAGAAGAGTAATATTTATTTACAGATACAGTTCAGTCAAAAATACGATGAAGATTAATTTCATCAGCTCAAGAAGGTTCTTTTTACGTTTATGATGAATGTTATAGAACACTACCATGAGCTCACAACTAGTTTGTTTCGATCCATATCTGGTAGTGTTTCAAGCCACAGTGTTGTGTGATCTCAAATGCAAACCAAGGAGTCACCACAAACCAATACATGCCAGTGCTATACATCTGCCGTTCATGTCATACTACCATGTAATAAACAGACCACTTCTGTGCTCCAGTCTCCGCCAATTACAGTCTCAGGGTAGCAATACACCTTGTTTAAGTTGGTTTAATATTCGTAAAATATGTATAAGCCACGGAAGTAGGCTTGTCAATATGGTGATACTAATTATGTTCAGTGTGAGCAAATACATATTACCAGACTCCGGCATTACATGGAAGTTGATGACATCGGACGTGAGCAGTTTTCATGAAGTGAAATCGGTTAAACATAAATTCGACAGCATCTTCAGTTTGAGGGCAGTAGGTTTCGCACGTTCTGCTCTCGTCGACCAGTTATATACCTGATTTTACAGTCAAATTAAGGATACACCGGGACCAAATGTAGCTTAGAGTGGCATAAGGCACTCTAGTTTTTGCTGTGCTCAGATCGATCACCAATGCGGACAACTGGCTTCTCATCCCTCTCGCTAAAGATACGAACGACGTCCATAATTATGTGAATTTACTTCGGTATGGTATCTCAGCGCCATACAGCGAGTTAGAAGTATTTTGAAGTATTACAATGTCATTGAGATTGGAAGCACATGTTACTGCTCGTAGATGTCATGGGGCTAAAATCCACACTAATTAGTCGCCTATTGGTAGCTACTATCGTTTTGTGTCGTTCTTGATGTTTGCGAGTTTATGTCAACCACTCACTCAATATCTTGGTTCACTCATTTCGTTGGTTACCTATAACCACCATAAAACTGGTCTTAGCATTTTGTTCAGCTCCATATCATTTTTGTTTCTAAAGGCTTTTGTTTTCATGTTTTCGTTTACCATAGAGATATCAATAATTCTGCTAGGCTCATTGAAACTAATTATTGCAAGTAAGTCTCGTTTTTAAACGATTACCTGAATAAACATTCATTTTTAATAGTTTTCAACTAACAGCAATCTGTTTTACGTAGTGATGTTGCATGAAGTAATTTGCTCTTTTGTTAGAGTTGGCTTCCATAGGATTAAGATCTAACGAAAATTAAATAAACTCCTTTATTTGCTTATATATTTAGACACATAAATATTGATATAAGGGGACACCATATATACATATGCATATATATATATATATATATATACCCCACACTGAAAATGAGGTTGTGAAGAGATAGAGAATGTAAAGAACGTGTAATAAAAAGAACAACAACGAAAAGAAATTAGTATGTGACAGTTTATTAATAATAAGCGAAGAAGCAGTTCGGCCAAGCGAAATGCAACCAAAAAATATAATTTCAGTCAAAGAAGTTATGTTCACTTTTATAAAGAGAGTAAAAGGAAGTTACAGAAGGATCGCCACTGGCTTCTATTCTAGTCCACATCTTATAACATCTAGCTACTGTGTTACATCATATATGAGACCCCAACCAGGCAATCACGAGGGACCGACAGATGCCAGTCCTATGCAGCATTAATTCATACCACAACACCATGTCATACACTGACCACCTCTTCATTTTTTCAACCAGTCCCAGCATCGACATTCGTAAGACGTGCCCGAGCCACCAAAGTCGGTGTTTCAAGATGGCAACACTAATTGAAATATCGTCTCTGTACTCAAACACACGACACCGAACCTCTGCATTACCAACATGGTGTTGCCACTGGATTTTGGCAATCCTTCGGAGACAGCGATGATCAAACACAAAGAGTCGTCTAACATCATCAACTGGGATGGGTCAGGTCTTACAAATATAGGACAGAACTGCTCTCACCGACGCTTTGTAGCTCCAACCGTTTACAGCCAGACTAACATCACGAAGGCGTCAAAGATGGTCTAGATTGGCATAACTCGCTCTGGCTTTCACTGTACGTGAATTGATCTCATCACTCACACCATCACCAGTATATACGCAGCTACCGGATACACGAACTGCTCGACTACTTCTATCCGCTTACTACCCAGAGTGAGTGCGGGTTCAGGGTTTTGCCAATCTTGTTAAAATACTATGAACTTTATTGGTGCAAAGCACATGCCATAGATTTCCACCATAAGCGGGTTTCTGTATGAGTAGGAAAATAAAAGAATTTACATAATGTGATTCAAAGGGAATAGACAAATGACATAAGGTAAGAACGAACAGTAAACAATCACAAGTTTAAGGCCAACGAAAACCAATCAACATCGAGGTGTACAGGACAGACTGTGAACCTCATGTGGAGAAATTCGAACACTTCACTTCTACCTGAAGTTTGTATTAATGTCGTTCAGAAGAACGATGAAAGCTTCACGACCAAATCATCCAGCTCAGAGAACAAAGCTCTATAGAAATCACCCACATGAACTACAAATCTTTACCATCTCAAAATCATATGAGCGTAGTTAGCTGGTATACAGAATTTAATATGTTGGAAGCTTTTTTTCTGGATAGTCGACTGTTCAGCATTTTAGAACAGTATAGTATCAATCTAGTTTCTCCGTAACTTCTTCGATGATTTCATTCTCTAAATTTGTTACATAGAAATCAGCTGAATACTTCAACACAGGAAATAGGTCAAAATTCGAAAAAAAATAAACATATAATTAACAATTATTAACAATTCGTAAAATTACAGTGGTAAGTACACAAATATATAGATAGTGATTTATTGACGAGGCTGTAGAAAATCAAACAAGCAATGAATGGGAAAAGCTTATACGGTCGTCTATGAAGTTTTACCAGGCTAAGGAAATGACACTTCCGAATAAGTAAACTGCAATTGTGGACTCGAACCCTGCTCCTGCTATATGTAGTAGACGAAACCTAACCTCGTTGAAAAACTGCAAAGGTGGATTGTGGGTTAGTCGTGACTGTTTAGTGTTGCTTACTGAGTAACTACTGTCAACCAATTGTAATAAGATTGAGCCACATCTTGTTTTCATTTGGCTCTTCCCGAACCACATTAAGAGCTGACCACTCATCTGTTGGTTAAGTAGCCTGATAGTACGCTCGACATGGTTTTATCCACAGAATTAGGTAAATTGGTTATACATCAAAAAAGCAAAATTAGTTGGCTTATCCTTATTTGGATAGACGCGATTAGTACACTAGTAAAAGGAAAACTAAGACTCTAGCTCTGTATAATATCCTTCTAATCTTCCTTACTAGTTTATCATATAGAATATCGCTAGCTACCTCGCCGTTGAATTATAGTTTTAAGTACAGAGGTTTCTCGTAAGCTGTCCATATCCTTAACGTCTTTTTCCCATGTTATCGTGAACTATTATTCCTTCGTTATTGTTTAAGAGCTCTTCTCCATTTTTACTCTTATCGATAGTAATAAGTTTATCATCTATGTAAGAATATTTTCCATTTATTTAGGCACAAACACTGGTACTAGGAGGCACCAAATATATATGTACCACACTTCGGTTAAAGCGCCGAACATTCCCTTTTCGTCCTGCAAACTTCGTAAACAACAGTAATACCATAGAATGCAGGCACTGGCTGAATATGCGTGGCCATGTGTGAACATTTCGAAAGAGAGAGTGGACTCTCCTCATCCTCGGCCATACCAAAGTATAAATCTTTTTCCTCAGTAACCTCCTGAAAGATTTAATCTTCTAAATTGGCTAGGAAAAAATCGGTGAAAGTTAGGTCTAAACGTAAACCCACATCTACGTCATCAATTTGCTTATAATGAATGTTGAGATCTAAATGAACTTTAACTATGCACTTTATAAGTAATTTTTAAAGACTATCCTCAGGGTAGTCGGTGCTGATTTGCTTTTCTGATTTTTTATATTATTTCGATTAGTAATATATTGATGAAAAAATGGAACATAGTTAAAAGTTTGACGAAAGTGCTTTTTAATAGCATAATTTGTTTAATTGAAAAAATGGTAGTCAAAAACCTTTTATGTAGCTCGTTTGCCTACTCAGCTTTAATCCAAATTGCGTCAGGGCTCATGATATTACCCGGCTACTTAAAGCGAAATAGGTGGAGCAAAGGTCAAACTTGCAACTTATTGGTTGAATGGTGAGTACTTCAACCATTAAGCCACCATTCCACAACTGAAAATCTTAGCAAAAGTGTATTATTTCCCTTCGATTATTTCTAAATCATTCCCAGAATCGGGTGCAAACAAAATGGAGTTTATCTAGAAATCTGCACAGGAATCTTGTAGTATCTTCTCAAGCTCTCTACCAGTGGTGATTGATGGAAAATATACCAACCAATCTGTCTTGATTCGATCCGTACGTAAGCATAAAATAGTCAGAGCTTTATCTTGCTAAAACTTTTGTTTAATCTATGACGTAGTCTAAGAGGGATTTTAACGGAATCTGTGTTTCATAGAGAAGGGATCGAATGTGGCTACTGGTGGTATGGGGGACGAGGGTGTCGTTCTATTTGGTACTCGTCAGTTGAATCTACCTGCATCCTAGAGTTAATGTCCATCCTAGGACTCCAACCTTTGTGTCTTTCATTTCAAATGCTAACGCTTTATCTAGTTAACTGTTGAGTCCAGTTAGCCACTCGCTTGTACAACGGATATAAATTTTAGTCTCATTTGTAATGACTTGGATCCCATTACTAGCCACATCCATCTATTCCATGTAAACGTGTGTCAAAATAGCTATTTTGAGGCAATTCGCATAGGGTGCATATATGCCAAATAGAACTGATGAAATAACATTCGGAATATCAGCAACGAGACAATAAAAAAAGAACAAATTCAATTAGAACCTGTCGTTGGTTCTCGAAATGATTATATAACTGTTAGGAGGATGATAAATTATTTGAGGAATGATGGACTCTTAGCTGTCGTTCTGTCTATATATTTACCGTTTCCTTAGAATTGTTGTGCACATAATTTCCTAAATTTTGGACTTAGTTCCACGTTCACATCAGTGATATTGAAAATGCAAATATTGATGGTTTATTTCTCTAAGAATATATTGAACCTAGTAAATCTAATCCTCTGAGTATCGACAGCAATTGCTTTTGTTATTTTTTGAAGTGCTTACACTGTCTGATAGATAATGCAAAGTTAGTTGAAGTATTCTAAATGTCTAAGAATGTAAACTCTCTTTACTGATACTATCATATCATAGTGTTAAGTATTGTTTTGACTGACAAATTGACTTTGTCAGCGCCTATTAGAGTTTTGTTTCTTTTGTTTTATAATGCTTTATTTATCATTTTGTGCGTCAGTGCCAGATACTCAATGAGATTGAACAATCACATTTTTGATTTTTAACAGATTGAATGTTCGAAAGATAGCATCTCTTCAAATATTCTTCTTCTAGAATTCATTCTGAAGTTAGAATCTGAGTTTTTAATTCATTTACTTGTAGGGTGAATTTGGAAGAAATTCTCGATCTTCAGATGTATTCTAACAGGTTCGTTTAATGTGTGTTTGGTTAGATGTTTCATCTCTGATTTCTTCGATTGTAGTTTGAACATGATTATTGATTTACATATGTGAGATTTTAGGATACTGTGTTGTGTGCGCTTCCCTCTCTATTTTGTTATTTCCGAAACTCTACGTAACTGGTATTTGCTGAGTAGTATAATGAGGGAAAAAATAATTTTTATTATCTCGACAAAATACTAGACGTACTGTAGTTCTTGTGATACTGCATACGTTGTTGTATTTGTATTCAATATGTTTTGTTCATGTACATACAACTTATCACGTGTCAGGTCCACCATTTGATTTCCGTGTTATGTTCTGCATACAATACACCGTACTTCTGAATCTTGTGCTCTATTTAAGACACGGCGCCGACCATATGTTAACCACAGCGGTGCACGCATTTTAGAGTAATATACACATCGAGGGATTCTTTGCCATACTTGAGTCACAAGCACTGTGAAGTACACATTTTCTAACTCGAAAATAAAACATAGACGGTACATCCAAATTAAAAGGAATTTATAATTTTGACCATGTCGCGTATAGTTAGTTGGGGTCACTAAACACCCTATAATGCTGAGCGACTAACCATTATCACTTAACACTCTAGTTAAAATAATACAGCAAAAATTTCTACTACCAAAAGTTTTTATCTGTACATGACTAACAGATTATCTGTTGTAGAAACTTGTCATAAGTATTCATAATTATAAAATGCATTTTGATTTATGTGAGGATACTATTGAAGTTTAGGAATGAGCAAATAACTAGTTTACTTGAGTCTCATTTTAGAGAATTGTTCATTAATTTAAGGTACTAAGTTAGTCTAAGCTTTCCAGATTTTTAATTGAACTAAGTGGGTTAAAGTCCGATGTCTTCATAATCGAGCATCAAGTTACTTTGTTTTACATTTGGTTACTGAGACATATTCAATATTAAGTGTGATTATGTACTGCGTTTTTTTAATGGTCATTGGTGAAATCTGGTATTTGTGTTGCACAACTAATCGTGTAAACCTCAAAACAGTGAGATATTGCAAAATGCGTCAGTTTGCTAAATGAACCAAACTTTTAGATGCTGAAAGCATAAATTGACTAACCAGATATCTATGTAACTGATATATCGTGACCCCTAAATTTCACTTTATTCTCATTATTAGTATCAAGTGATGCTGTGGATAAGATTAGAACCTACGTCAATATTTGATGTTCAACTGAGAGGATGTAAAGGTCAATCGAAACCAGTAATTATATGCATACCAAGTCATTAATAATATGATAACGTTCTTTACATAGCTTCAATCCTTAAGCTCTTGCGGTATTATCATATCAACTTGATATTGTTTCAAAATATCATTCACTTTTTGATGGTGTGTATACTTTGGTTTCGACTAAAAACGGCTTCCTCATATTTAAAAACTATATTGTTATGGTCGTTTTTAATTTAAGTTTCGTATTGTTATAATTTTTTTTTAATGCAGTCCCAAAGTGGAAGCTTTTGTTCCGTCTTCCAAATCGGTATCAATTCATTTGAATAGAGTATGTTTAATCAAAAGCGTTTAATATGTCGTATTTTCAGCGAATATCAACGCTGACCTTTGAGTTTTCTCGTCCATTCAGTCGTAAATTGTTTGAAAATGTTATAGAGTCAATGCTTTGGGAGCACAGTGTTCACGATGAGAGCGGAAATCCAATGAATGTTCTACGCTTAAAGGTAATGCTCTCTTCATAATTACTATTAATCATTTTAAATAGTGAAGGTTTCTCGTTATAAGAATGAGTTATTTAATGTCGTATGTGACTTTCCTTAGGATCTACCACTATAGTACGAATGTGTCCACTATTATTCTGCCCTCTGTATCAATGAAAGTTGAGTGTGCAATACTGAATGTAGGGGAGACAAATTGTAACTACGAAATCAAATATACTGACTGTATTGGCGTATATAAAGGTGAGGATGAGGGTGAAAAAACAATGCTTGAAGCATTCCTAAATCTTCAGAATACCTTAGGATAGAATGACATTCAGTGGGGACTAGAGATAAAAATGATTTTAAAAACCCAAAATACTTCAAGGAAGGATTTTCGTCTTATAAACAATGACTGATAGTGGAAGTCACATACATATAAACCAACCCTATAATAAATAAGAACTTGTGTTTAAATTTGAACGAATAGTTTCACAATATTTGGGTGCCGAGTTAATGTGAGACATTAAAGAGGAAGAATGTATTTTTAAAATATCAGAGAAAGAATTCGAAGTAAATCCAACATCTACGAAGCACACAATATGTTATCTTAACAATTTTCGTTTCACACCACATGTCTCTTATACACTAATGTAAATACCTACTTCAAACAGTGTTCACGTTGATTGAATGACGTATTCAGTATACAGAGAACCATGTACCTATTTATATTCGATAATTTTGTTGTTTGATTATGTTTTCTTTTAAAAAGCTTGGACCGGATTGCCAGGCGAATCGTTTGATTTCGAATTCTTTCTCTGAGATTTTACAAATACATTCTTCCTCTTTAATGTCTCAATCCTATAATAGTTCTTGTAGACTGGATTGTGTATACGTATCGAAACAATGACAACTAATGACTAATAAATGGAAATAAAAGTTTATCCACTACCGTTACATTCATAGTTTATAAATTATGCATTCTGGACATCAACAAGAATGTACATTCAATTGTTCAGGTAATTATTATGTTTATATTTGCATTTGACACCCTTTCTCTCAAAGTAATAACACAGCATCTATGCAGTTAGGTGTTTATCTCTAATTCTGTAAATAGTTTGAGAAGTCCGACTTTCAGATTTTTATCAGAATAACTAATTTTATCCCGATCATAGCCTATGGATACCTTATTCTAATAAAATCTACATTCATGTACTACAGCTTTAAAATATTTAATATCAAACTACTCAAATAAGCATATTCAACATTTTAATATGGTCCGATAATTGTCTAGTGCATGGTTGTTTTGAGATCTTAAATATATTTGAGAGTTTTGATTTACTACATAAATTTTTTTTAGACCAGACTAGTGAGTGGGACGCCACAGTTACTTTCCATCAATCTCTGGGATCCTTACAAATAAAATTTGGTTTGTAACGTGTTTTATGTAATATATACACTCGACGCCTTACTTTTCTATTTAAAACGTTAAGGGGACATCTTAGTTTTTAAGAAAGCGATAGTTTAAAAATGTTTTTCATAGTGTATGTTAATATAATTTTATTAGTTGACAAATTCGTTCTTAATGTTCATAATGAGTCTTCTCTTTGAAAGGGATTTATTCGCTTCATAGATGATGATTGTACTTACAGTCTACAGGGATTGAACGAAATTTATGATCTTTCCCAAATACCTAATGAAAGAGCTGAATTGCTTAACCTAAACGGAACAAGATTAATATTTATTGGTATGTCAAGAATATTCGATGTTAAATAATCTTTTTACTTTAGGTCATAATCTATGTTCATCAATTTTGAAAGAATTGCTCATTAACTGTACAGTATGAAAGACACTTTATAGGATTGATTACATGTAACTTACATTTAGCTTGTACATACATTTTTACACTTATTTTTGTTTATTTCTAGTTTACGATTGTTAATTTGTTACAACAAAACTTGTAATATATTTCTGTAACTCTTAACTGTTTCAAACTGAAAAAAATTCAGACTTAAGACATTGCACCTAGAATAATAGAAACCCTTAATAGAGTCACGTATGGTTGATTTGTTGCAGTTAAAGTAGTAGAACTTTTACATATTTGACTAATATACACCATTTATCAGCAGTCAGTCGTTAACGTTTTCATAATGTCATCATACATAGTTGTACATTTTCAATAATAATATCATCAGATAGAAATCACTTTTAGTGACTTGTTTTTCATAATTCGGCCGACACATTCAAATCTTATTTCAGTCAGTCAGCTACAACGTAGGACCAGGCACATATGTGCATCGGTCCAGGTTGCCATACCTCATTAGCACAGCAAGATGAACAACGGATTCATAGGAGTGGTTAGGTCAAAGGTTGCAATAAGGATATAGTATAGGAAGAGAAAATTAGTTCGTAGACAGAAAGAATGAAGTGATTTTAATCTCTTAGTTTAAGGGAAGACAGGGAGTGTATACACCGACGCCATTGTGATCGATTCTGAGCCATGTCACCAAGAGTCTCTAACCATTGGTTACGAAAGTCACGAGGACCCCAACCAAGTAGTCTGCATCTACCAACATGGCTCAGACTAGAAGTTAGTGACTTCAGGCACTGATGCCACGTTTTGGTTTGGCCGCCCCTAACATTCTTCCAACCATCCCCTACCCCGGTTAGCATTGCACGTCGTGGTAATCGGTGTTCAGGCATACGTAATACGTAGCCCAACCATCTCAGTCGATGAAGATTCATAACCTCATCAACTGATTTACCATCATTCCCTAATACCCTTCGTCTAACCTCACTATTACTTACCCGGTGATCCCAGCAGATGCCAGCAATATTTCTAAGGCATCTATGGTCAAATACTAGTAACTTACGAGTGTCTTCTACTCTTAAGGGCCATGTTTCGCTGCCGTAAATTAAAACAGAACGAACTGTCGCGCAGTATACTCGTCCTTTTATTGATAGACGGATATCTCGCCTTTGCCAAAGGTGACGTAAGTTGGCAAAAGCCAAACGAGCTTTTCGAATCCGTGCTGAGATTTCGTCAGACACCGACCCATTAGGGCTGATCAGACTTCCAAGATAAGTGAAGTCAACGCGTTCAACTACTTCACTCCCTATCCTTAGTTCAGGTGTTGACCCAGACCAGTACTGAAGCAACAACTTGCATTTAGAGGGAGAGAAGCGCATCCCAAACATTCTGGCATTGTTGCTTAGTGCTACCAGAAGACTCTGCATTTTGTCAGCGTCTTCACCAAACAGGACTATGTCATCTGCATATTCTAAGTCGATAAGTGGACCTCCTGGAAGGAGATCAATACTCGAGAATTCAGTCGACGAGAGTGTTATTTCCATCAATAGGTCTATGATGAAGTTAAACAGAAATGGGGAAAGTGGACAGCCTTGACGGACACCACTTGAGGTTGCAAAAGTAGATGACAGTTCGCCATAAGCCCTGACTCGACTAGTAGTGTTCGAGTAAAGAGCCTTCACAAGGTTTATGTACTTCTGAGGTACGCCTTTCAATGACAGACACTGCCACAGAGTCTCGCGGTCTACCGAGTCAAATGCTGCTTTTAAGTCAAGAAATACCACCATCGTCGGACGCCGATAGGTATGCCTGTGTTCTAGAACCTGACGAATGGTGAATATGTGGTCGATGCAGCCACGACCAGGTCTAAAGCCAGCTTGGTTCTCTCGAGTTTGTAGTTCACGAGTCTTAGTTAGGCGTTTGATAATTATCGAGGCCAGTATTTTAGATACTATGTTTGTTAAACTAATCCCTCTGTGGTTGTCACAGGATGATTTTGACCCTTTCTTATATATTGGGACGATAAGTGATTGCGACCAGTCATATTGGTACAAGGGGACACCAAACACGTAGGATTTAATTTGTCCTACAGATATATACTACTAGAACCGTAAACGTGATACTGGCGATTACAGAGTCTATGTGAAAGCTATGGTCAGAACAAGGACAGCTTGGCTCTAAACTTTATCTGTTTCTAAACGTGAAAACAATTAGTTTAGCACAATAATTCAGGGAATTACGGTTATTAAGTGAAACGCACAAACATACCGACCAGTATTGCGTGTCTTCTCGAAATGAATAAAATTATGAGTAACACTAATATAATAGGATGATAATGTCTTTCAATTGGTAGGTTACATGCAGCAGGGATAGTTTGCAGACACGTCAGACCAGATGAACTTGGTGGGCGTCTATACGACGATTTGATTGGTTAGTTATAGAAATAACTAACATTCCCTCTGAGCTGCACCACGTCCAGGCTTCGTTACCGTTGCACTCAAATAATCGGCCTCTCCCAGTAGGCACAGGTCCCGTGGAGCCCGGCTGACCTCTTCGGTTGCTGTCTTCATTCGAAATGTTCTGACTCGTTCATCTGGGCCATAATTGGCCTGTCTAACTATAGCTTACGGCCACAGATTTCTCGGTTAGCCAATATTGTTTACCAACACTAAGTTTCCCGGTTGTAGATTCCTTATGTCTAACCACTTGGATCTCGTCTGAAGGGTTGGTAGGTACTCACGTAACCATCTGTTCCAAAATAGGTTGGCTAGTCGTTTCGCTTTCCCCCATCTGTTATATAAGCACGTTTTACTCATTTGAGGTTCGTCTAATGATACACCTCTGTAAACTAACAATAACTTCTTTGGCGTAAGTACACACAGGTTGACACAGTCACTAACTGGCTTTGCTAGTGGTCAATTGCTCAGTGTTTCTTCAGACGCTATTAAAAACGTCTCCAAAGATTCATCCGTCAATACCTTTTGAAACAGTAGTGATCGTAGCATTCTTAGTGACTTTATGATGCGTTCCCATATACAGCCTCTATGATTAGCTCTCAGAGGGTTAAATTGCCTTTCACAACCTCTTTTCGAAAGGGTGTTTTCTGTCTTATTCTGTTCTCAACTGCACACAATCTGTTTAAGACGTGTCGGCACCTCTGAAGTTTGAACCGTTGTCGCTAAATACATGTTTTGTCTGACCTGGCCTAGCAACGAATCTCGAGAGAGCGCATAAAAATGAGTCAGTGTCCAAAGCGTGCATATTTCGATGTGAACTGCCTTAATAGGTAGGCAAGTAAACAAACGGCCGTATCGTTTTTCAACCACTTGCTTCTTAACGTTAAGAATAGTCTACAACAGAATTGAGTGCTTACAGGAGACGTTCGGTTAGTGGATACATAATCTGCGTGCATGGCGAACTGTTGAGTCTCTTGCATAGGTAGCACTGTTTCAGGACTATTCGAATAGCCGCTTGATGACGCAGAAATCTTCGCGAAGACCGTTTAGGGTGTGAGTAATACCAGAATACGCGTTCTGGGGAGGATAATGCATTACCATCAAGTCGGTAACAAAATGTTTACCAGGAAGTATAAGTGGATGTTTGATTTCGAAGGGCACGCACGTCCCACTCCTTGAATGACGTTATATATTACGAAGCAATAAAATTACTTGTCGGACTCCTACGCGCAATACTACTTCCCATTTTCTTACCAGCAGACATTAGATGGAGTTTCATTTCCTTATTCGAAACAGATACACCTGCTCTCCTTGGTCTTTCTTGTGATTCATATGTATTGCCGTGCTCGTCTTAATGCTGTATTTGCCTTAATGTCTCCATCTCTGTAAAAAATGAGATCGTTTGAACCAATATAATTTTATCCTGCTTCACACTATAAATTTCTTCCAATCTCAATATACCAAGAATTAACGGTCTTCTGTCTAATCTCATATTGTGGATGAACCGTTTACATAAAGCGAATACTCTCAGCATTTTGAACCAGGTCTTAAAATTACTAAATCGATCTAATAAATATTAGTGGACATCAGTTAGGGGTTCCCCAGCAGCATTAATTCTAGTGAATATGGCAAACTTGTGACTGATGTTTCTTGGTCATAAATGAATGCACCTATTCTGGACCATGGAGATTGCTAGAGCCAGCAACTATCATATTGCCAGGCAGGAGATCAGTGAGTTGCTGTATGGAAGATTATAAAATCGGGACAAAGAGAAGATAACTGAAAGAGTGAGGAAAAGAATATCTGGCACAAAATATCTGATCAGGTAGACGTATAAGGATGAAAGATAGGGAAAGGTGGACAAAAATCGGCTAGTAAGAATAACAGTGGTAGTAATGACAAATTACGAGATACGCATCAGATAGTTGCCCCGGGGAACGCTAGGCGGGGTTCGATTACGTGTTTCTCGAGCCTCTCAAAGCTGTTCACTGAGGGGGGGGTGAATCATGCCTTCCGGGAGAGCGTTCCATTTTAAGCCGATACGGTGAGTGTGGACTTACTGGGATATCAAGTATTCGTGTGCTACTCGTCGTACGTTGCCTCATGAAATTTAATTTCAAGGTTTGTATGTCGAATGTTTTGGTTTCAGTTTTAATCACTTGCCACGGTTTCATATTTTCTGTGTGGATAAAAACTAAAGTTTAATTGAACGATATTTTTGAGTAATAATAATGACGGAGAGCCTTGTGTAGAACATTGTCAAATCTCTTATGTAGTCTATGTCCCGTTTGATCTCATCCTGTCAATTTAAGTGAAGAAGTTAAGCTCGACATTAAGTTCCCTCGTAAGAAAGCCTGACTTTAGCTAAAAGAAAGAAGTCTAGCACATTATAACTTTTTGTGTCAAAATATAGGAATAGCAGATCCACAGCAACTTTATGATCCCATCACTCCGCACATTCGTTCCACATTGAAAAGTTTATTTTCGGTTCGAGAAATGCATTTTCCGAGGCCGTGTTGCGCCTCATTAATGACTTTATGGACGTTAACATACTCCTTAACTCGGACCTGTATTAACTTTCTATAGAATCAAAAGCAGCGCCACAGGTCTGTAACAGCTAGGACGATACCTATCTTCCCCCTGGAACTCGGATATAGGACCACCGAATTACAATCATTTTTAAGGT